CTTAAAAAATGCAAACAACGGTAATTTTAAATTCTGGATTTAAAACTTTTTCCCGGAAATAAAAAATAGGGGATAAGAAGGAAAGAAAATAAGTATATTGGTAACCGAGCCTCCTTTCGAGTGACATGTTATTGCGTGACACCATCGCAAAAAACGAACGTCAATGATTCATTTCATCTGTCAGGATGCTCTGGCCCGTTCTATAAAAAACAAACTTCCATTCTTATTGTGAAAGGAAGACTTGTAAAATGTGAGTGTTCCAAGCTGAAATATGGTTATAACTGTCCAGCAATGTGACGTTTCCGGCAGGAACCTTCGTGAGATGTTTTCACTGTGATTTGGTATACACCGCCTGTAGTGCTGTACTATCGAAGCTGTTGTCAAGTCTCTTTATAACAAGATTGAGGCAAGGAACCAATCTTAGAAAGGTGTTTTTCGCCAGGTGAGCTTAAGAAATCCAGTTTACAATCTAGTATAGGTCAAAGCGATAAGATTTTGTTGGAATTATGGCTTCGATAATAAAAAGCCCAATTGGATTATCTGCGGTTGTTTACATGGCGGCATTGCGATTTGCACGAAATAGACCGGGCTACTTCTTCGCAGTAATTCAGAGCCCCCAAATTAATTTTTACATCCATGGAAAGAACATTCTTTCCACTTTGCTTATCTCAAGTGATTCCGAGTTATACCAGGTAGGAAAAATTTTTATTGAAAAACTGCTCCAAAATGTAATTTTTAATCAATCAAATTTTGGCTATTTTCAAATATTCGCCAATAATTCATAGTTATGTCACAAGCCCGTTATTAGATTCAAATCATTTTTTAATACCTCGTATACAAATAGGTAAAATTCAGAAAGACTTGCTTTCTTTTGCGCTTTTGAGGAATAAAGGTTTTGTTGCCCTACACGTCGACTTCATTTCGGCCATTTTATGGCGGTTGGGGCTCGATACAGTGTTTGGTGATTTTCTAGAAAATAAAAACAGCTCTGAAAAAAAAAATTATACCACGTTTATAGACTTACCCAAAGGTATCTCTGAGCGAAATATGAGGATAGTGATTTTTCCGATCATGTGCCACCTCCCACGCGGTGATAAAAAAAATTCGCTCTTAAATGTACGTGACCGTTATGCGGCAAGAGTGTGTGATGAGCATGTGACAGAGCTAGATAACGTGCTGTACATAATCATAGCTTTTGTCAAAGTCAAAACCAGCAAATATCTCTCGAAAACAAATGAAGTTTGAAACAAAGCTCGAGGTGGAAAGAAAAATACACAATTCCTACGTTTCTTTTGATATCGTAACATTTCCGATATATAGTAAGAATAACGGTAATATGGTTGTCGGTGAAATACCAGAATTTTTTCAGTTTCCAAAATGTGACATATGCATATCCACCGCACGCTGTAAATGTACCATTTATATCTTCACATATAAAAGTATCAAGGTCGTCATTAGACCGAATTTATCAACATGACTGTTTTACTTTCCATGTGGGCTTTTTTTTATGTTTTTTTTCCTGAAGCTGAATTCAATTCTTTTTTAAGGAAATACTTCTTATAATAAAAAATGTTTGTATAACAATGTCCGAAATTGAATTGGTTTTCCGACGAGCTGAGCGTCGGTGCAGCGGATCTCTATTTTCGATGCTATTTAATAGCATGCCTATTTAAAAAATTGTATTTGATGCAAATTTTCAGTCAATATCTTTACATAAAAAGGATGATACATGTCTACTTTTGGATACGAATATATCTGCTTGAATTGAAGGTGTAAAAGATGTCATGAGCACTCGATGGTAAAATTCGTATCCACGCGCGATTATCTAATACCTCCTATATTCGTTGGCACTCCTGAACGAGTGCGAGCCTAAGAAGGCTGTACATCGGCCAATTTCTCTCACTACATTTTAAGGAACGAGACGAAGACGCCCTCAGTAAAGGATCAAAGGATATATTACATGAAAAAAATATATTTTCATGCACCATGGACTTACCAAATGACTCTGCTAGTCTCGTTGTGATTTTTGTTTTGTTTTGTTTTGTTTTCATTTGAGACGAATCTGTGACCTCATCTTTTAACCAAAAATACCAGAAAAGCTTTTATTCATAAAACAAGAGCCGTAGAACTCATGTTATTTATAATGAAAGATCGCAGTCTCATTTTTTTTTTTTTGCGGCTGACAACAATCAACTTTACTTTAGTCGAATTTTCTCGGTTTATTATTTTCAGATGTGGAAATTTTTCATTGATTTCTCTCATTTGATTCGTGGTTCAATAATTTGCACGCGATGCAATTTCCTAAATCCTAAAACTCCTATTAGTGATATGACTTGTAACTTATCCCTGTAATATAAATACATTATCCAGCAAATAGGCAATGAGAATACTCAAAGTTTTATCAGGTAGAATTCGTTCTCTTTGAACTAACATTAAATTCCCGTATCTACTTTGAAAGGAAACATGTAGCCGCTAGAGGGGAGAATAAACAATTAAATCACGGGAGTTAAACGTTTGACTGTACGTGATGATTATGCGGCAGAAGCGCTAGATGAGCATGTGACAAAGCTAGATAACGTGCTGTATATAATTATAGCTCTTTTCAAAATCAAAACCAGCAAATATCTCTCGAAAACAAACGAAGTTTGAAACAAAGCTCCAGGTTGAAAAAAAAATTCACAATTTCTACGTTTCTTTTGATATCGTAACATTTCCGATATATGGTAAGAATAACGGTAATATGGTTGTGGGTGAAATACCAGAATTTTTTTAAGTTTCCAAAACGTGACATATGCACATCCACCGCACGCTGTAAATGTACCATTTACATCTTCACATATAAAGGTATCAAGGTCGTCATTAGAACCGAATTATCAACATGACAGTTTTACTCTCTATGAAGGCTTTTTTACAAATATTTTAAAATTTTTTAACTGAAACTGAATTCAATTCTTTTTTAAGGAAAGGTTTGTAATGTTCTTGTATTACAATGTCCGAACTTGAATTGTTTTCCGACGAGCCGAGTTTCGGTGCAGTGAATCTCTGTTTTCGATGCTTCTATTTAAAAATTGTATTTCATTCACATTTATAATCGATACTCTTGAATTAAAAGGGTGATACATGTCTGCTTGTGGATACGAATTTATCTGCTTCAATTGAATTATCTCTTTGGAGTGGGAATCGAAAGAAAACACATTTTGCACCCTTAGGTAGCCGATCGGAGTACAGGTTTCCTGCTCGCTCACGGGTCCCACCTAAACATATAGATAGCAGAGAAATTGGGAAAACGTGTCAGCAAAAGTGAAATTTTCAACACCAGAATCACGATGACTGCGATTTCTTGATTACATACGAAAAAGAAACCTCGTCAACGACACGATTAATTATTCTGGTTTTTTTAAACGCTTTGGAACATCAATCCAACTCCTCGCGAAACTTGACACGGTAATCGTCGACGGTTAATAAATTTTTGTATTCAAATGTTCGAACTACATATCTTCAAGGTGGTTAGTAGTATCATTTCTTACTGGTTATCTGTCTGAGTGTGGTTTTAGTAGGTATACCTTTTCGCGCGATGGCTAAATGGCTACAATGTTTGCGTGTTTAAATCGTGCGCTGGAAGATTTAACTGTGGGCTCAGTAAATGCTGATATTGGAGCAGAATCCTGTTCTCAAGCCAACCTCAGCAGCTTCAGGGAAATGTCCTAAATTTCCCGTTCACTATAATATTGCAAAAGATTATTTTTTAATTAGCAATTCGTTCACAAATAATTTTTCAGTTTCATTTCGTTTTCAGTCTACTTCCTCCGTCAAATGATCATGGCTTGGCATTGACTTCATTCGATGGCCTACAGTATGAAGCTATGCAGGAGTCTGTGTGTTGCGCACGGCTTTCAATTTGTTGTAGATGAAGTTTCTTGATAACAAGAGTTTTGATGAATAGGACACTTCCCAATGCCATCTTCTCCAAGTCCCCCAAAATAACCTCATATTTAGTGCCTTTTTTGAATCCGAAATGAAAAAATCGGATCCTTCCCCAACATAATTTGAAGAGGGACCAGCTCTTCCAGTTATTCTAAATTTCCTGGTTCCTTCAAAAAAAATTAATGTGGGAATATATTAACTAGAACTTATAATTCTGTTAATAAAAAAAGAGACTTTGTCAGCAATTTTTCGATAGCTTTTAGGGACATTTTACACATGCACTTTGTATAAGAACAGGGTCGATAAACGTGTTTCTTTACGCAATAGGCTCGCGGGGTGCTGGTAGAATTCGCGACTGTAACGCAGATCCTCGAAGGTTTTTTGTTTCGAGTAAGTTTCGCGAATTCTCCCAGCCCCACACGCGATGAAATGAAGGAATTAGAGAAAGAGTTTTTTATTGCATCATTTTTGATCCATGCTTATCCATGTCCACCGGGTACAACTAGGTTGTGTATTGCAACTCACGCATTTTGATAAGGGATAGCCTCGAACGACGTTTCAACAGCTGAGACTACGAAAACAAACAAACAATTGAAAATACAAACATGACACAACCCGCGGAACCTGACTGATGCTGTCGCGCAACCACAATAGCGTGGCGGGAAAACTTTGAGATTCTCATTCTTCCTCTATGATAAAGTATACAACGTTTTCTTTAGACTACTTTCATCTGAGTCTCCTCTTTTTATTTTTAACAAAATAGCGCAGTACAACCGATTTAATTTTATTTCTAGCTATGGCAGAAGGTTACCTCCCAACAACAGGAGGAGAACTGGAGGAGAAAAATGAGTTTCCAGCCACAGGTTAGAAAAAGGAACAGGGAAAGAATTATTTGTGGTGATTTTTTACTGTTTATTAATTAAGTATATCTTAATTCTGGTGCACAATTTTTTTGGATCATTTCGACTTGAAGGTTTTTAGAATCCACCACAGACGTTAGTATTAGAACGCTAACTGTAAGTGAACATAGTTGTGATCACTCAAGCTAACAAAGTTGAAATATCTTCTCGGTAATTTCAGCAACAGAGGAAAGTCAGGTTACGTCAAGTGACGCTGAACTGGATGTATACAATGACCCTTTAAGAGGTAAGAACACCGGGTGAAACAAGGTTTTTTTGAAAGACGCCCCAGTGAAGTTTTTGTCACATTTACATGAAAAGTTGCGTCTGCTCTGTAAATAAGTTTTTGAAACAGCAAAAAGATTGTTTCTTCAAATCCAAACTCTGTTACCAGTAAAATGAAAAACCAAAGGAAAAAACAATTGATTGCTCGATCTGATCAAGTAAAATGCATAGACATTATTAATTATTCATAAGCAAGAAAACGACACATTTGAAGGCGACTTCGCTTTGAAGAGCCCTAACTTAAAGAAGAATCGGTCTAAATTTGCCTACTAGGCCGTAAAACTCAGTATTCTGAGTTTTAGAAGTGCTTACTTGTAAATCAACGCAAAATGTTTTGGAGATTAACGATGTATCTAAAATTTAGACCTAAAATGAACGATATTTGCGCTGAAAAGGTACTATCCTTTTTGCACTTGAAAGAGAGAGCTGTTAGTACCCTTAGACCCGTCTAAGTCGAGTTTTGAAAAATTTGCAGACGGGTAACTTTTTGAGGCCGCCAAAAGGAAAGTATTTACGCTAACACCCTTTGTCATTTACCGTTCAATACATGTTTGGCAGGAATTTTACGCAATTTGAGAATTCTACATAGAGAAGAGGAGGCATTTTGTCTCGGACGTATCGCCTGTTTTGGTCCTCTAAATATTTCACGCCTCTTTAGACAGTAATGTCAACACCAGACCCACGCTGTAAACCACTAGTCAACAAAATTTAGAACCCCTGACTTTTATAACAGGTTTTAACCTTTTCGGTCCTGGCTTTGCTCTGCTTTATCTTTAACTCTCCTGAAGGGCGATTGTAAAAGAAATTGAGTTGAAATAGGATCTCCTGGTAAAACTTGTGATATTTTGGAAAACGTAAGCCAGGTGTAAAAGGGGTTTGTGAAAGCCTCTCGACCTAAATGTAAACCGAACAGACTTGATCTAGTAATAGCCAAGCTACAGCCCAGACTCCCAACAGCTTATACATTTTACTTAAACAAACTGTACAGGTATTAAACTTTTCTGTTTTTTTTTTTCATTGCTTTAAGCTCCTTTAACCTAAAAGTTCGTTTGGATATATAAAGTTGGTATCATCCGTCAAGGGTCGCTTCACTCATTACCAAATCATTAACACTAAAACGTTGTGTTTTCAGAAATAGCGAAAGTATGTGTGGAGAAAGGAAACAAAGAATACAGACAAGGAGAAGCTAATAACGCAATAAACTCCTACACGGAAGGACTTAAAGTGAACTGCAAGGATAAACGACTCAACGCCAAGCTTTACAGCAACAGGGCAACAGCTCATTTCCGTTTGGGTAACAATTTCATATCTAAATATATAAATCTCTCATGCAGCGTTACAAGATAACCAAGATAACGGAATACACAATCTGCATCAAGAGAAGAAAAAAATCGAGCAACTGCAGAAAAGTAGCATAAAAACATAAATCGCCCTGCAGCGGATGAAAATTAAGCAAAGAAACGATCCGCGTTATATTTTAAGCAATTGTAATTTTTTAAGGCTTCTTTGTTGTAACTCCATATGATTATCACTTTTTTAAACCTTATTTCCTTAATCTCATAGCAAACTACGTGGAATGTCTCGATGATGCGACAGTTGCCGTTCAATTGGAACCCTCTTTAATCAAAGCTATTAAAAAAGGTGGGCGTTGCAGACATAAGCCATCAACATTATATTCTCTGATTTCGTCAAAAGAGGATTGTGTGGTTTGTGGCAGGTGACTGCACCCCAAGTGTCAATTGTATCTGGTGTGTCAATAGCTGTTAGTGGGTAAAAAGCAGAAGAAAATGTCAATAAGCTCTCAAATACCGCTGCCTGGTTAGTTCACATTGAAGAGCGCCGGAGGTCGAGGGTTTAAGCCTCGACCGGACCAACACTCAGAGTCGTAAAATATCTGAGGAGAATATGCTGTCACCCAAGCTACGACATCTGCAAATGGTCTGATATTATTGTCCCGGATATGAACGGAAGACCGTAAGCTCCGTTTCTTGCATCTTCTCTGTGACTCTTAGCAGGGGACGTTAAAATACCCGGCAAGGACGCACCTGAAAAATTCCCTTTCGAAAATTAAACTGCTCAATGCAGTCTGCCCGAAAATTTCCCCGAAAAGTGCTGAAAAGGGCATAAGAGCACATTAAAATGAAGAATGCGTGACATAAATTCATCGCTATCATCATCGGTTGAACCTTAATCGGTAGCCACTTTGCATTAGCTCTTTATTGTTCCTTTTTAGTCCTTCTACAAGTTCAAATTTCCTTTATTATCAAAATCTTTGTTCCCAGCCAAATGACAAATTAAGTCCATTTTATCAATACTTTTATACCTTAACAGTGATCAATTACCTCGCACCACCAATTATTCTCTCCTTTTCAGGAGCCCGAGCTTGTGCCGAACTTTGCTGGTATAAAGATGCAAGGAGCTGGTTGCATATGGGATTGACTGTATCCTTTAACGAATGTTTCAAACGTGATACGAGATGCAATGCAACTAATATTTCAAGAATAATCAATACGTTCCAGGCATATTCTTCTATACATAATGCAAGCGATGTTCTCTTATACTGCAGTGAGCAGTTTAAAGAAGCTAAAATATTATTAAGGAGTTCTCTCGATTATTCCACGAAAATTTGCTTAAAAGAAGAGGCAATATTAAGTTATTCCCAGAGTTTCTGTTGAATACCCCTCATATTTCTCTGGAGACGAATCACCACGACGAATGAACCTAAACTAATATATGCACTTCAGAGACAGTCCACACTCTCGAATAACTTGAAATCAAATCTCTTCAAGAAACCCACGCTCGAATTATCATTCCAATTTGAAAGTTTTACCCAATACTCTCATTATTTTTAAAACACATTTCCATTGCATTTTTGCGAATCCACTCATAATTTAGCAACCCTTGACACGTTTTAAGATTGAAAACAATAACGAAAGTCTGCTTCAATTAATGAGGAGATCGAATGCCGAACTAAAAGTCAAAGCAAACACTTATGCCAGTCTCGGATGTACTTACTATAATGTTGGGCAGTTCAACACAGCAATCATGTACCTTCAGCAATGTCTAGAAATTGCCAAAGAACTGGGAGACAAGGCCGGAGAGGGAACCAGTTATGGCAATCTCGGCAACGCTTATCGAGGTCTAGGAGAGTTCAAAACAGCCATCAAGTACCATCAAAGTCATCTAGAAATTGCTAAAGAGGTGGGAGACAAGGCCGGAGAGGGAAGAAGTTATGGCAATCTCGGCAACGCTTATCGAGGTCTAGGAGGGTTCAAAACAGCCATCAAGTACCATCAACGTCATCTAGAAATTGCTAAAGAGGTGGGAGACAAGGCCGGAGAGGGAACAAGTTATGGCAATCTCGGCAACGCTTATCGAGGTCTAGGAGAGTTCAAAACAGCCATCAAGTACCATCAACGTCATCTAGAAATTGCTAAAGAAGTGGGAGACAAGGCCGGAGAGGGAAGAAGTTATGGCAATCTCGGCAACGCTTATGATGGTCTAGGAGAGTTCAAAACAGCCATCAAGTACCATCAACGTCATCTAGAAATTGCTAAAGAGGTGGGAGACAAGGCCGGAGAGGGAACCAGTTATGGCAATCACGGCAACGCTTATCAAGGTCTAGGAGAGTTCAAAACAGCCATCAAGTACCATCAACGTCATCTAGAAATTGCTAAAGAGGTGGGAGACAAGGCCGGAGAGGGGACCAGTTATGGCAATCACGGCAACGCTTATAACGGTCTAGGAGAGTTCAAAACAGCCATCAAGTACCATCAACGTCATCTAGAAATTGCTAAAGAGGTGGGAGACAAGGCCGGAGAGGGAAAAAGTTATTGCCATCTCGGCAACGCTTATCGAGGTCTAGGAGAGTTCAAAACAGCCATCAAGTACCATCAACGTCATCTAGAAATTGCCAAAGAACTGGGAGACAAGGCCGGAGAGGGAACCAGTTATGGAAATCACGGCAACGCTTATCGAGGTCTAGGAGAGTTCAAAACAGCCATCAAGTACCATCAACGTCATCTAGAAATTGCTAAAGAGGTGGGAGACAAGGCCGGAGAGGGAGCAAGTTATGGCAATCTCGGCAACGCTTATCTAGGTCTAGGAGAGTTCAAAACAGCCATCAAGTACCATCAACGTCATCTAGAAATTGCTAAAGAGGTGGGAGACAAGGCCGGAGAGGGAGCAAGTTATGGCAATCTCGGCAACGCTTATCTAGGTCTAGGAGAGTTCAAAACAGCCATCAAGTACCATCAAAGTCATCTAGAAATTGCTAAAGAGGTGGGAGACAAGGCCGGAGAGGGAGCAAGTTATTGCAATCTCGGAAACGCTTATGACGGTCTAGGAGAGTTCAAAACAGCCATCAAGTACCATCAACGTCATCAAGAAATTGCTAAAGAGGTGGGAGACAAGGCCGGAGAGGGAAAAAGCTATGGCAACCTCAGCAACGCTTATCAAGGTCTAGGAGAGTTCAAAACAGCCATCAAGTACCATCAACGTCATCTAGAAATTGCTAAAGAAGTGGGAGACAAGGCCGGAGAGGGAGGAAGTTATTGCAATCTCGGCAACGCTTATCGAGGTCTAGGAGAGTTCAAAACAGCCATCAAGTACCATCAACGTCATCTAGAAATTGCTAAAGAGGTGGGAGACAAGGCCGGAGAGGGAAAAAGCTATGGCGGTCTCGGCAACGCTTATTACGGTCTAGGAGAGTTCAAAACAGCCATCAAGTACCATCAACGTGATCTAGAAATTGCTAAAGAGGTGGGAGACAAGGCCGGAGAGGGAAGAAGTTATTGCAATCTCGGCAACGCTTATCGAAGTCTAGGAGAGTTCAAAACAGCCATCAAGTACCATCAACGTCATCTAGAAATTGCTAAAGAGGTGGGAGACAAGGCCGGAGAGGGAAGAAGTTATGGCAATCTCGGCAACGCTTATCGAGTTCTAGGAGAGTTCAAAACAGCCATCAAGTACCATCAACGTCATCTAGAAATTGCTAAAGAGGTGGGAGACAAGGCTGGAGAGGGAACAAGTTATAGCAATCTCGGCAACGCTTATGGCAGTCTGGGAAAGTTCAAAACAGCTATCGAGCACCATCAACGTCATCTAGAAATTGCTAAAGAAGTGGGAGACAAGGCCGGAGAGGGAACAAGTTATGGCAATCTCGGCATTGTTTATTGCAGTCTAAGACAGTTTAAAACAGCTATCGAGTACCATCAACGTCATCTAGAAATTGCTAAAGAAGTGGGAGACAAGGCTGGAGAGGGAATCAGTTATTGCCTACTCGGCCGAATTCATTACCGTCAAAGAGAGTCGAAAATGGCAATCGAGTGTTATCAACGTCACCTAGAAATATCCAAAGAAGTGGGATATAAGACTGGAGAGGCGTGCTCACTCTGTTCCCTTGGAAGTAGTTATGAGCACCAAGGAAATCTCATGAGGGCCTTTGACTATTATTACTCCAGTGTAGAATTGTATGATGATATCAGGGCCAGTCTTCAACTCAACGATCAGTGGAAGATTTGTTATCGTAATCAGCACCAAGTAGCATACAAAGGTTTGTGGCGTATAAATCTCAATCGAGGTCAAGTTGTGAAGGCTCTTCTTGCCACAGAGAAAGGACGTGCTCAAGCTCTGAGAGATCTCATGGTCACAAAATATCAGCCTAGAGATTCTTTAACGCCCAGTGCATTCCGCATTTCTCTGAGGTGGGTTCCAATGAGCACAGTTTTCATAGCCATTAATGGACCATGCGTTTACTTCTGGGTTTGCCTCGGTGAAAATAATATCCAGATGAGGGAAGTACACGTCAACGATTATAAGTTTGAGGATGAATTGCAATTTTTCATACAGCAACTGAACAAAACTGCTCTTGAGGAGATCGGTGCAAAAGGTACTATTACAATCGAAAATCCTCCGCTTGACTCGCTGACAGAAGAGGAAGTGGCCAATGATGTGATTCGAGTTGATGTGAGGCACTCCCAATCAAGTGCTTTAAAGAAGCTGCATGACATCATCGTTACTCCTATTGCTGACCTGATCGAAGGCAACGACGAGATCACATTCGTTCCTGAAGGGCCATTTAGCCTTGTACCTTATGCAGCGTTGCAGGACTCCAACTCATCCTATCTAAGTGGTTCTTTCAGAATTCGTGTGCTTCCCTCTCTGACAACCTTGCAACTAATTCATGATTGTCCAACTGACTTTCACACGAAGACTGGTGCATTGCTTGTCGGCGACCCATGTTTCAAACATATCATCTATGAGGGTAGACTTTTGGTGCAACTTCCAGGAGCAAGGAAAGAAGTAGAGATGATCGGACGTATCCTCAATGTTTCCCCTCTCACTGGCGAAAAGGCAACAAAAGATGAAGTGTTAAAACGAATATCATCAGTGGCGTTAGTTCACATAGCAGCGCACGGTAAAATGGAAACTGGAGAAGTTATCCTGGCACCAAACACCATAAGAGATAACCCTCATCCGCAAGAGAGAGACTATCTACTGACGATGAAAGATGTCATAGCAGCTGGGTTGCGAGCACGTCTGGTTGTACTTAGTTGCTGTTACACTGCTCGTGGGAAGGTCATGGCCGAGGGTGTAGTCGGCATGGCGCGTGCACTTTTGGGTGCCGGTGCCAGATCTGTTGTGGCAACCTTGTGGGCGATTGACGACGAGGGAACCCTGGAGTTCATGACTTTCTTCTACGATGCACTTGCCGAAGGCAAGAAGGCCAGTGAAGCTCTCAATCAGGCCATGAAGTGTATGAGAGAAATTGAAAATTTCAAGGAGGTTTGGCACTGGGCACCATTTGTACTAATTGGTGACGACGTCAACCTGGATTTCGACGACATTTAGAAGCTTCAGCAAGTAATAATTCTGTTGATACATTCTATTCAGTACAAAGTTACATTTAATCATAATCTTTGCTCATATGTGAGCAGTTATACTTGCGTGTTATTTTCCTTTCAGTTGGGTTACGAATTTATCTTTTGCTCCGGCAAATTGAGATGCAGTACAATCAAGTGGACACGTTTACGATGATAACATTCTTTTTTGGAAACATGATGGGAGTAAAATAGCAAATTTCTTTTAAAACAATGCTGTTGTGCAATGTATTGTTTCATGTGCTAAGAAATATTTCATGGCAACTCAACTATCCGCCCTAAACTTAGATTCTTTTATTTTTCAGTTAAGGCAGTTAGCATTGGAGTCCCAGGGAGTTTTCGAATACCTACAAATGCTGAAATTTGGACCAGTCACCAGTAAGCTACCGATGAAACCTTTGTCAAGAGTATTCTTTTCAAAGCAGGAAGAACCAAAAGACGGCCAAAGTCAAGTTTAACAAGAGAACAGATTTCCATTGATTCAAAAGTTGCCTTTTTTGCTTGTCTGAACTGCTTTTACGAGCTTAATCTTTGATATCCTTCTCAAACGACTGTTTGTTTGTTTGTTTGTTTGTCTGTTTTTTTTCTGTTTTTCATATGATGTCTTAAAATTATCATGACTAGCTATGTGAGAAGTTATTTTCAATCTAAGTATTTTCTACAGAGAGGATTTGGGCGTAACATTTACGTCGAAGTTGAAACGTCTTGAAAACGTTTTCTAGAGTTTTTTACAGACTTTTTCTCAATCGGTTTAATCTCATGAGTGATATAAAGCTATTACAGCCATGTGAGTGTGTAGAGAATTTCCATAGAAATTAGAGAAAAATCAGTTGTCCGATTGCTCGATTATCTTAGTCTATGTCAAATGGAAATTGTGATTGACTTTTCGAGGATTTATAGTCAGTCATTGGTACTTAAAGCTAGTTTCTGCTGATCAGAATTTGGTCTATCTGGACTTAAAATGACGGATTTTGGCCGTAATGGCAAAGATTTAGTCTTGGTACTAGTTAATTTTTTGGGATTTCTCCTTTAATTTTGAATGCAGCAAATTATGTTATTTTTTACAAGCAGAACGATGCATTTTAAGTATATTGTTTAAACTAATCGTCCAATGGCAAAACGAGAAGTTTTATTGTATAATTTTAGTTACGGCTTACAAAGCATTGAAGGAAGCTCAGAACGAGCTGGAAAGTTGGAACCAAATGATTTTATTTAGTTTCTCCGATTAGATTGTTTACTTGCTATTTAAGTACAATAAACTAACATTTAAATGTCAAACAATGAAACAAGTCGCTTGGTATTTTGTTAACATGGAAGAGGAAATCAATAAGAAAGAGAAGAAAATTTCTGCATCAACCTGCATAAGCCATTTCTTGTCGTTTGAATTGGTATTCGCTTATTAACTTTTGCCCATTTCTTTTTGAATTTGAACAGGTTTATTGAATGAGAGATAAACTTCGATATTTTCTGACTCTAAAACTGCTAATATCGATCATTGGCAACCGTTTCTTAGGATGTCACGCGACGCACTTCTTTAGCACGTTATATAACAAATATGATGTTTTGTCACATCTTTTCGTTTGGAGCAGTGAGCGCACCTATGTCTCATTCGCTCAACCTCTCCCCATTTCCTTGGATAGAGTTATTACATGAGATATAAACTTCGATCTTTTCAGATTTTATATCTGCCAGTTTCATTGGCAGCCGTTTCTTAGGATGTCACGCGGCGCGTTTTTTTAGCAACATGATGTTTCAGTCATACATCGTTGAAGAGGCAAGAAAAAAGAAATTACCTTTCACTTTTGGAGATGGTGCTTTATTCTGTTTATAGTAAGCGTCCTCATCATGGGAAGTACCTTAGGTCGGTGTGGTTCCCTGAGTGTAAAAAATATTTATGATATTTTTTTCCACGATTGCAAACTTAACTAAAACAGCCTGTTAAAAAAACCGAAACTTTCTTAAAACTGAGGGCCGAACGATAAGAACTTTTTACGGCTAACGGTTAAAATTGTGGCCATTTTTCTGCTGCAACTAACCCAGAATAACACTTAATAACCCATTGTTGGAGGGAAAAAAGGGTTTCTAATTTGTCGATTTTTACGCCTAACAGGTGGATTTTCGACCGATTTACGGCTAACGGTTAACCCCATGGAGACCCTCGACTGGGTGACGTGCAAGATGTGAAATAAAAACGTTTTTAGCATTTGGAACTCGAATTTAGAGCGCTGGTTTATGAGGGGTAAGGAAAACCGGGAAAAACAAACTGTGGAAAAATCGTGGAGGTAAGGGTCAACCTGGGAGAGACGGGCATGGGGAGAGTGTTTGTCACAACGCACTCCTGTTCTGTTCAATCTGAGAAAACAAAAACAAAAAAAACAAAAAAACAAAAAAACAAAAAAAAATATATATATATATTTATCTTACGAGATATTCACCGATATCAAGGCAAGCAGGGATGAATTTCCTTCCCTAGTTAGTACCTTGTACCGAATCCGAAAAGTCAGTAAGCCCTGATATTTTGACTTCACCGCAGATCTAAAAAACTGCGACAACGTAAATGTTTCAGCAGAACATCTCTACTGACGATAGCATATATTACAATCATTTTCCAAAAAGAGCCATGGGAAGGGGGGAAGGGTGGGTCGAGGTTCCGTTTGTCCCTCCGGGCTGGAATCTTAGAGCTACGATTTCAAAAGGTAAAGATAAGAATTTCCCTGAGTAATTGCTGGACTTAGGCTTCTTTCGTCTTCCTAGATTTTCTCCTCGCGCTTCATAACTCTACTCCATCTGACCACCTTCCAGCGGTTTTTAGTGTATGCCACACAGGTGAATAGAGCTCTTAGCGTGGGCTGATTGGCTAATTCGGAATTAATAGTCGAACCTGTATTAAGCGGTCGGTTTTCAGATTCCCGAATTTCTTCCTCTCGCGCATTGTCACTTTCGCCGCTTTTCAGCGGCGGTCTCTATTAAGCAGTTGTGGTCATCCTTGATTGAGTCCCATCAGCCTGTTCGGGTTGTATGGTACGGTTACTTAGGGCGGAACTACTCAAATAAAACGACGAATTCTCTCTGAAGTAAAATTTGAAAAAAATCACGGACCTCATTAATTCACAACATTATTTGGTATCGTGTACCAATTTTTACTTCTCTTACTTTCAAAAAACAAAAAACTTCTGCTTAAAACGCCTAAGCAAACCGCAATATTTTTTTTCTCTTTTTTTTCTTTTCTATATACTTGGCTTTTAGCCTAACTAAACTGCTTGCTCTTTTTGTGTATATTACTTTCCAATACCTGATATATTATCTTTAAAAAAAACCATCAAATTCAAATTTATCAAAGAACATTAATCAATATTTAGAATCCATTATCGTTCACAGAGAAATAGATTTACAAAAAAACTCATCTTAAATTGCAAATGTTATCATTTGCCTATCCATGTTTGCCAGATAATATAATTCCCATTTCCGAGGCCAGCAATAAAAATCCACAATTTAAATTTTTTTTTTTACATAAGTACTTTGTGTGCTTCCTTTCTGACTTCTCTACCACAATCTACGTGGATAATAAAGTTTAACCCATACTTTAGAGTAGCTTTCATTAGGGGAGTAACATTTTGACCCAAAAATTTAAAATACAAAAAAAAACAAAAACAACAACAACACCCAGATACAGACTGAATTATACTGTGGTAACAAACGAGGGAGACCTTTACCCCAAGCTATAGCAGATCGCCGGAAAAGTGAACCAGTTAGTCTCAAAGTTTTACACTGGAACGTCAAAGTTGACGCTTCCAAGAAGTCACAACAGACGCCGTGAAATGGCGGCCTTGGCGGCAGTACTTGATAAAAGATGGGTTGCGTAGGAGAGTCACGGCCAGGAACCAGGGTTGGCAGCCTTTTGAGACATGCGCGGCTGACGGGGCTCCCGACTAAAGCCTGAAAGGCATAGTGAGAGGAACGGCAATATACGCTGCGTTTAAGAGGTTTGGACGAGATATGGAGGGACTTCGTCGAGTTTTTCAAGTTAATTACCCTTCAAAAAATTAGTTCATGAAAACAAAAGAATCATAGCAATAGAGAAAATAGGCCAAAAGAAAGAATTTTTTTTCCGACTTGAGTAAGAAGGGAGACAAAATGTCTTTTTTTCCTTCACTATTGTGAAAAAGTTTTTGTTAAAAGTCATTTAAAACAAATATTACAAAGCTTCAGAGCGTCCTGCCTCGATGCCTCGACGAGATCCGGCGACAAAATAGATGCCTTAACACACGGTACTTGAAAACTAATTTTAACGTTAAGAACGGAATACTTAAGCACTTCAGACTCAAGGTGAAAAAAAGGTTACACACGTAGGGATGTTTCTTTTTCTCCTCATGAAAGGCTTAAAACTGTTCTATATCACCCAGAATGCAAACATCTTTTTAATGGTGGGCTTGAAAAGTAACTGTACGTGAGTTACGTGTTAGTTCCTCAAAAAACTGTGCAAAGTGGCAGAAAAGAAAGGCTAACTTTCAATATTTCCGTGTGACCACAGAATGGATTTGAAATGTATAGTAACAAACCGAACATAGCTCGCATCGTAAGTTTCTTCTCAATGGTACCCATTTTTTCAAATCTAACTTGGGGAATGGGGTACGTTTTCTGCCAAATTTTCCACGATTTCACACTTATAACGATGCTTAACAAAAGAAAATTTTGTATTTCTTGCCCTCGTGAAAATATCATTTCTAGTGTTCTGATTGGTTGCTGAGTGCTGGTTGCCAGGGCATAAACAGCGCTGTGTTTTGATCTTATCAGGGAAACAAACGTGACAATTGTCTCTAAGCTACAGTTGCGCATTCGTACGCACACTCATCTGTCTGATTATCAATCAAGCAAATCAGAATCCTAGGAATGCATCACCCCAGCCGAGACGTGATTCTGGAGACAGTTTACTTACGCTCTTGCAGAAGCTGATGATCTTTTTGTCTGTAAATAAGCAACTGACAGAACACCAGCATCACGGGATGTCTATGGACAACCAGTACAGTCACAAAACCAAGGTATGCGACAAAAGCTAGAAAGAAAATTAAGAAACTTTGAAGTGAGATTCGAAGGTTGTCCAGGATCACATAGGTTATGCTTTGGTTAGCACAACGACAACTCTATAAATCTCGTGCAACCCTCTCGAACAATCAGACGTGAAGCTATTACGAATCGCTACTGAGCCACTACCGTTTGCTGCGTTCTAGGCAATTTGTTGGATCTTGTCACTGAGAAATTTCTGCTTTCCTTTCCTTTCGTCGCTGAAGTCTCAGAAACATTAATTTCATTAGTTAAAAGCTGTTTTAGGAAATAGCGAACAACATGGCAGCACAATAGGTGTGTATGTTGTATATCTTCCTTCACATAGCCTCTGTCACTTATAAATTGCTTGTACTGGGTGCGTGCTACGTACCTTTGTCCCAAGCCTGAAAACCCCGCATCAGTGATGTTCGATCGATACGTGAGATGAAAATCACTCTTAAAAGCATGGCCTTTAGAATTCGCATAAAAGCAGAGAAAATTATAAGAATTATGTTGTAGAAGAAGAAAAAGTACGACATGATGGAGAATAGCCGCCTGAAAGAGAGAAAGAGACCAAAAATAAAGTGTACACGATACGGGCTGAATATTTTAAGCTAAGTGACCCATAAGCAAGATGTGAATTTAAGAGAATTACTAATTAACCTGGATGCAACCGGTACAACACACAACAAATCAACAACCACAACTACAGCAACAACAACAACCATCACAGGAACGAAAACAACAACACCCATTAGCACGACAACAAAATGAATAACAACAATAAGCACCCAAACAACGATAAAAATGTGGATATATGCCAAAAACCTTCTTATCAGAGACGTCTCTGTCGGCGACGTTCAATTAATCTACCACAACTTTGTATTGAACGTTCTCTCGGCGAGGCGTGAGTTGACCACTAAATATGACATATACAATTAACACGATAATAACATTTGCTACGCCATTGGTCAAAAACAGCCAAATAGGACCGAGCGGAGTCCAATACGGTCTGTAGTTGTACAAGACATCGGTTGTGGTTCTGAGTTTTCATTGAAAAGAGAAAAAGAAAAAAAAAAGGAACAGTTACTCGGCGAAATGCGAGACAACAGTACATGACGCGTTCTGTCCACTTACACAGGCATGACGTGTAAAGTGTCCCTTTAACTGTCCTATTACACTGTCCAATTACAAACATGACACTGTCCTATTACACTGTCCAATTACAAACATGACACTGTCCTATTAGTGCTCAAATCAAGCTGGTGATCACCAATCACGTTCGAGAATTTCGCTATAGTTTTGGTTAGTGCACTAATGGGACAGTGTATGGTTCACGTTATGCTTGTAACTGGCCATTTAACGCAACATGCCTGTGGCTATACGCGTTATACGCGTGCTGTAATAATTTTGTCAATCACTTAATGAATTACGGACCGAATTAGACTGCACTCTGTCAGGCCTAGTACTAGTTATAAATGCCTACACGTGTTTGTCATCAGTAGATCAGTTGTTCAGGGCGTGCGTATCACGCAACAAAGATTCAGCAAATACACAACAATATAAGTCGAGTCACGGAAGACGAAATGTGTTAGAAACAACTGGAACAACACCAGAAAAATAGCCAAGGCCAATGTGGGTCTTTAAAAACAACATTCCATGAGTACTAGAACGCGTTCCACAATAATTATGAAATTATGATTATAATTATAAAACCAGCTTAGCAACGAAATCCTGATCCTGCAAATATGTTACTGCATCTTGTTTTGATCTTTAGAGTTGCATTCTGCATGTAGTAGAGTATTTTTGAATTGAGTGTCGAAAGTAATCGATGATTGCTTTGATTTTGCTTAACCTCGTCGTGTGATTGGTCCAGAAAGTTCGCGCCACCTTCTAAACCAATCAGATTCAAAACTTGAACGAATCGTGATTTGGTCACTCGCGTTTTCCCGCCTTTTATACAGTACGCCCACAACGATCACAATAACCATACGACAACAATGTGATGCGATGATATGACTCTCATTCTTAAGATTCAAATCGATACAACACATACATCGGTAAAACTTACAACGAAGCATTTCCGATTTCTTTCAAATGTTTCCATAATTCTGGGCTGAGCAATTCTTTCGATTTGAAAACGATTGCCAGAGCAGCAGCCATGGTTGACAGAAAAATTTTCAGGGTGCCAAAACCTAGAAAAGAATCGAAGATAAAACATCAAAGAGCTTCATGGTAAGATCACATTTGTACCAAGAGCATTACGAAATTACGAGCCCACCTTAAAGTATCAACAATAACTTAAGAGAGGATATCAGCATCCATCGAACAAATTTGAAATATTGTGGCAAGTCGCCCATAATTCGTTTTCTCTCCTACTTTTATATTTTGTAGCCCAATATGTTCTAATAATTGTGTTGTAGTTTTTTTGCGAAAATATATTTTAGTTTTCGAGAAATGACTTTTTTCGTTCGACCGCTCAAATATGTAAATTTTCACCGTGAATATTACCCGAGTTGTGTGACCTCATGTATCGAATGTACTAGACCTACAGTATTTCTGTGAACATAAACCTTTGTGTCATCATCTAAACTTAATCCCCTGTCGTTATTGAAGCTGCCAAAGAAATATTTATTTTTTGGTAAATATTTTTGTCTGACATGCTTTTCCCATGTCGAAAAGTAGCATCAAAACAAAGACAGTTTTAACAATGACCGATATAACACAATCTACTGAGCTTCAAGCTTTCATAAGACCAAAGGATGGTTATAAAGTTACTATAAAAATTTCCTTGTGTTTTTGCGTTGTTCTTTCTTGAGACGAACTCAGAGTCCGGTAAAATTTACTTAATAGCGACTATGAAATGTACATGGTGCGCCTACTTGTCGCCACCGTTAGTTGGCATAAATCACTACAATTTGTACAAAAGTCTAACATTAACACTCTTATCTGGTTTATTTATGATTTTATTTGCCGTTTCGATTTTTATATTACGCCTGGGTATTACTTTTTGAAAGGAGCTCAGGTTTTGCGTTGTATTTTCCCCTCCCTCATTTATATCATAAGCTAGTCACGCAATAGTTGATACCGACACTAGTGAATATTTACCATTTATAAAGATTTTTGTTTACGTTGAATTGAAAATATTAAAATATGTGCTTTCTTCACTAATCCTTTTTTCAGCAGCAGCGAAGCAGTTAAAGCGGTTGTCGCTTCAACGCCACTGAAATTTTTAGTATTCAGACAGGCGAGCAAAGCGTGATACTCTGGGAATAAAAACTTTTAGGGGCCTTGTACATGATATCCGAATGAGTTTTTGAGTTTTGTACAAGAACGAGTTCATACCGGTTGCCACATAATAACCAGCGTAAAATTTATTCGAAATGGGTCATTTCTGAATGAGTTTATTGGGGTTTTTATTACAGAACGAAACACTCATTCTGGACGACCTTTTCTACCTGTACAATGTAAACGCAGCACGGCTCTCATATTTGTATGAATCATCTGAGGGAGCGAGGGAAGCATTGGAAAAGACAGAAAAGAACATAAAGACTTGTTTTTACAGGCTAATTGTTGCCACTCCCACACGGATAAGACTTAAGCACTTTTTATAATTTTATATTATATAATTTTATATTATATAATTTTATATTATATAATTTTATATTATATAATTTATTTTTCGTTTTCGAAATTCCGGGCGCCCACCCCCGCCCTCTTATGTAAAGGGGTCCCCCGGGGGTGCTAAGACATGCAGCACACTTGACATTTAGCAAGGACAAATTCTGATGTGATTTTGGCGAAGAGGCACATATTTTGTCAGCGTCTAGTCGCTGGTGCAAAAGGGCCCTTTACCACCGTGTGCATAATTACGCGTCCCCCAGACGGCGGAGAGCCAACAAAGTGTTCAGACATTACTTCAGAAAACTCCGCCTCTGACTGAATTTTTGGTAGCCTATTGACCAATTCCCAATCGAACTTAACTCTGACGTCACGCGTAATTTTGCTCACGGTGGTAAGTAGCCTACTTACCGAAGCCAGATTGTATGAATTTTCCAGACATCTTGAGTACCATCTGTGATACACGCTTGCTAATTCCCCTCTCAACTTTTGGAATCGACTTAAGCCTACCTTCGCCATGGCTGGACATTTCTTTTGGCACCTTACATCTGCTATTGGAACCACGATTCCACCCAACACCGAGATTTGATCAGTGAGTGGGGCAATTTGTAAAATCATCGACATCTTTTGGCGTCTCGGAGATGCCGGCACGCGACAAAACAAGATCAACTTCATTTTCTGGATCTGAAAACTTGTAACTACGCAAGTGACATGAAATGTCTTTTTAAAAATTACGCAAGGGTACGAATTGGTCTTCTCGATAACGAAACCCACAAGTTCCACCAGTGAACGATTTAACTAAATAGCAATTCTCCATGTCAGCATGTAAGATGAGACGCTTATAAAACAGATCAGTTAGCTAAATCAGTATGTAGTTTGTCAATCAAATTGGCTACTGCAACCATACTTTGACTTCAGCCGGCAAAGGAATCATCGATGGATCAGGACATTTTAGTTTTCTGAATGCAGTAATTCCTGAGAGGTTTTTCTAGATGTCATGTCATCTTTGAATTTCTGTGTCACGCTTGCCATGCAACTGATATAATAAGTTAGAGAAGATATATAAACTGGAACTCAAATCTGGCTAGAATGTGGTAGAGCATAATTAACATGATCATCGAAACAGCTAATAAAATCATAAATAAACAAGATAAGAGTGTTATGTTAGTTTTTTTTGCGAATTGTAGTGATTTATGCCAGTTAACGGTGGCAACAAGTGGGCGCACCATGTACATTTCATACTCGCTATCAAGTAAATTTTACCGGATTTTGAGTTCGTCTCAAGATAGAACAACGCAAATACACAAGGAAATTTTTATAGTAACTTTATAACCATCCTTTGGTCTTATGAAAGCTTGAAGCTCAGTAGATTGTGTCATATCGGTCATTGTTAAAACTGTCTTTGTTTTGATGCTACTTTTCGACATAGGAAAAGTATGTCGGACAAAAATATTCACCAAAAAATAAATATTTCTTTGGTAGCTTCAATAACGATAGGGGATTAAGTTTAGATGATAAAACAAAGGATTATGCTCACAGAAATACTGTAGGTCTAGTACATTCGATACATGAGGTCACACAACTCGGGTAATTATCACTGTGAAAATTTGCATATTTGAGCGGTCGAACGAAAAAAATTATTTCTCGAAAACTAAAATATATTTTTACAAAAAAACTACACCACAATTATTATAACATACTGGGCTACAAAATGTAAAAGTTGGAGGGAAAACAAATTTGGGTGACTTGCCGCTGTTTGTTTGATGCATGCTGACATTAGCTCTTAAAATTTGCAGGTTCATAAAATACTATTATTTCCCTTTAGCGACCGCGTTGCCTCTCAACTATGGTTTAATCATAGACAATCTGAATCTCTTCAAATTTAAGTTTTGGCAACAACATAAAGGTGTCGTTTCATGAATTTTGCGGTAAACAGTTCACTGTTGTTGGGTTAGGGGAGGGTTAGGTGGCAATTGCTCAGATATTGATGTCGATCTTTCAAACGAACAAAAGAACAAACAGAAGATTTGCATTTAAGATACTCTGTGACATCAAATTCATTTTCTTACACCAATCAATGTGTACGCTATCTGATATCCAGAAAATCGAAGACTCTTCCCCTAGCAAAGATGACAAGAAAAAAAAAGGTAACAATCAAATCTTAATGACACACTAACGCACAAGACATTGCAGATAATTATTCTAGCAACATACATTTTGCTTGTCACATAACAAGCGTACTAGGTGGCTTGATTCGTCAACGAATTCCTTCTCGTTATAAATTTGTGCACTAAACCGTAAACAGAAGTCTTAAGGTCCAACCAAGGACTCACACAATTTTTCCGGGTTTAGAGTTCTTGAAAATCTTCATCGTTATATTTCTGTCGTCTTCTTGTGTTATCCTTATTATCTTTATGGTTTTTCTTTTCCCCATCACTACTATTGTCAACATCATCATCATCATCATCATTATTATTATTATTATTATTAGTGTCTTAAATACTAAAGCTATCATCATCATCGTCGTCATGCCGCAATGATTCGATTCAGCGCCCAGGCGCTCACTTACTTTTGGTACTTCAAGAAAGGGCGCTTACTCGAAACAGGGCGCTTGTTAGGGACAGGGCTCTTTTTTTATTGTTTTGTTTTTGTTTTTGAGAAACAGAAAAATGTGAGGAACAGGGCTTTGATGTTTATTTGAAAAGCATCCAGAAGACTGGAAAATGGATTTGTTGTTCCAGGATCCATCCTGACTACAACGGCTAGCCAAGCAATCATTGCAAAATTTATAGACGAATTCATTCGTTCGAAGGAACTGTGTATTCACATAGACATAATTGTTCACAGACTGAGAGGAAGACCACTGTTTTTGTAAAGAGGCTTTAACCCCTTACATCCTAACATCACAATGCATATTCGCCATACTGTTCCCTATACATTTCCTAACATGCTGACAGGGTAAAATCATGTAAAAATCAAGAGCTTTTTTAACTGGTGATCATTTCCTTTATTCTCATGACCTTAATGTTTGATTCAGGGCGATATTCTGTGGAGAAATTAGATGTTAGTCACTCTTAGGGGTTAAAGAATTAAGTGAACAATTGAAGAAAGATGAACTACGGTTGATCTCAATGTCTACACATTCTAACAGTGTGTGTTTTCGGTATAGGGATGCTTGTTGTAATGAGGGTGCTTATTAACAAAACAGAATACAGGGGGCGCTCACAAGCTGAACGGGACGCTTATTGAAATGAGGACGCTAAATCGTATCATAACGGTTATCTGTATCTTCATCATCCTTTATATCATTAGAAGTATTATCATTGTTAATTATCATTATCCTCATTATTATCATCGTTATTATTTTCTTTACCATGATTATAATTTCATTCAAATTATGGTATCCAGTCCTTTCGTGCCAACCGTCGTTTCGTAACTAAATTTGGACAGTTCGTACCCAGTTTGGGCAAAGGCAGTTCAAGTTTCCAAACAGCCACCGTTAATATGCAAACATGTTTACTTTGTGCAGTGGGCGAAATATAAGGACTTGTATGGAAACGAAAAGTCGCCTTCTCGACCTAAAAATCTGAACTAGTTTTCAGTACAAATAAAGTTACCAAGCTATTCCTATGTAACGTAACAAACCGACCTTACGTTTAACATACTTAACATGTAAAACATACTTTCTTAGTAAGGGTGCGAGACAACTCAACCGACTGGGTACCAATGGTCCTGGAAACGACCGGTAACAAAAAACATAGAGTGCACTTTTGAATAGGGAATTTAAGAAAACCAGGACAGCGACAGCGACGGCGACCGGAATTACACGACAAAAAACGTTTAATAAGCAGAACAACGGCTGTCCTCGTGGGTAAAAAAACCTTTGTAAATTTCTTTGCGTAAATCTGCAGATCAACAACGTGAAATGACCCAAATTTGCGTTCTCTAGAGAACGTGAACGGCGACGGCTATTTTTTTTAAACTTCCATTTCTAATTTAACGCTGTGTTCCATATTCAGTTTCGAGATATTTTGACAGCGAGAAAGAAAGTACATGACTTCAGAGTATCGCGAGATTCGTAGGTAAAATATAAGTTAATTTTTTAACCAACCGCTGTCATCGTTTCTTAAACTTCCTATTATCCGTCAGTTAGCCACAGTACGTACCACTGAAGCTGCGGGTGTCAAGAGCAGATCCTTTGAAAATGTTGCTTGCCCTTGATACAACTGAAGCACGTGTTCTCTGAAATAAATGTTAAAACATTGGACATGAGTGCGTTGGTTCAGACATCGTTAACAACAACAACAACTCCATTTAGCAAGGGTGCATAATTGCCACGGAATATTTTATTTTAATAAACAGTATAAAATAGAGTCAAAAAATAATAATAAAACAACAACAATGACAAGGAAAAAATGGAAAGGACCATCAAGCAGAAATGCGAGCAAGGATATTAATTGAAAAAAATTTATATATATACATTTATAATTTCATCACCTTTCCCCCGACACTGAATTTGTAACGACCTACATGTGGAGGAAGCCGTAAAAGCGAAAAGTCTTCCTCGATAAAAAAAAAAAAAAAAAAATTGAGAACACGATGACTGACTCAGGAGAAGCTTCAGCGTTTCCGAATTAAGAGGAAAACTCACCGATGGCATTTCATGAAGTGGAGAGAGAAATGGCAGTAAGTCCGTAGGATTTATTCCACCTAAAGGATCAATTTTACAGAATTTACCCCTTTTGAAATTGTCAAACTTCGAGCGAGGAAGTCTTTACGATCTTCTTACACTTTTGCATTGCTTCTCTCCCCTAGATGGGAAGTGACACGCAGAAAAGACGGTCACAACGCACTTTGGTTGGAAAAAATAAAACCACATTCTGTTGGTTATTAGGTGTGAGGACATAGCTACAACGGAAGACACGACTGCAACGCTACAGGAGGTTTGGATCGGGTAGAAAACAGGAGGGAGGTTTGGGTCCAGTAGAAATCAGCGAGGAGGTTTAAGCCAGGTCGTGTTCTCTACTACCAATCCCTTGTTCAGTTTTTTTCGACTCGACCCAAACATTCTGTCATTCGCTCCGTCGATATCATCGTGCTTCGAATTTAACTTCCACGCATGGTTTTCTAACTGAACACCTGGAACAAGCTAGTTTCTTGTTTACAGACAGAAAAACTTACCTTAGAGGACGTCTACAGAACTAGCCGAGCTGGTGTCACCACGAGTTTTGTATTTTTCAATATATACCCTTCTTATCACGTCCATTAAGGAAAGAACTGCCATGAAAACCTGAGTAGAACGTAACACATTAGAAGAGAGTACCAGCATGTGATTCCTCTATGAACCTATGCTGTTGTTTTACCATTAAAATTCTCCTACTATGAACTTGCAGCTAATTTGATGTTTGACTCCAGACAAAGATTTGCACTTTGTAGCATTCAAAAACTCTTCCACAATATTTCTGAGATCCATTCTTATAACACCCAATCTTCTGTCTCTAACAAATTTTATAAACAAAGCTCTTGATTGTCAACTCGACCGCTGGCACTCTTTCCCCAGAATTGGAGAGAATAGCACTCGAGTTACCTGTGGGCTGGAAACTTTTAATCTGTCTCGAAAGTAATACATAAAATTCATTTATGTATGTAGGTATGTATGAGAAAAGAAATCAAACACAAAAACAGTAATGAGCGTCATAAACTAATGACCATGGTGACGACGATGATGGAGCGGATAGTGTGATTCACCCCGTAAGCAAGTCGCACAGTCATTCAGTCAGTCAATCAGTCATTCTGCCATCACAGTGTCGATAAAAATTATCCAACTCACCTAAAGGATCGTTAACGCGCTACCAATGTTGTCGAAATGAATCGCATCGAAAATTTGAAATCTCAACGTGAAATTCAGATAAAGTTAAAACAAATTTTTCAACAAACGACTGGGTGTCATTTAAATCATCTCCTTATTCAAATGGTTCCTGTTCGTGGCTCAAAGACATGGCGCGAACAAAACATCGACGAAGCAGCCTTGAAAACCAGTTTAATCCAACCATATTCCCCCTGTTTGAAGCAACACAAAAATAAATTATACCACCTATCCGGAGTAATTAGAAAATGATGATCATCTGAATGAGCTTATGCAAAAACGAAAGAAATATGTCACTTCATTATTCATCACCAATGTATGCATCAATGGCCGCTCTTTTCTATACATACACGTTCTTTTCAACCGAACATGACAGCCTTACACGTTAACATCCCAGGTGGGTTTTCACGCCGGTAAACCTATAAAAATTGCGGTCTATTGCTTTTACAGTATAACTTAGAACAAAGCAGATGGCTTAACCAGTACAATAAACAGTAGGGTTTTAACCAATCAGGGCATAGTATCTAAGTTAGCGTAGCAGTTATGAATGCGATGTCTGAGTCAATCAAAACGCAGAGAAAATCCCAAACGACATATCTCACTGGTTTAGAATGAACCAAAAAATCGTAGAAAACTTAGCAACAAGACAGGCTGGTGCAAGCAGTAACTCCTCCCCAATCTCCATCCGTGGACAGTTTTTTATAGCCAGCATTCAAAACTGTGAGACGATTATCACGAAAATCGCTAGTTATCGACGAAATATCGTGCCATAGAAACGCTTGTCTTGTAAATGTCGAAAGTAACCATTATCGCTTTGTTAATGCTTTACTTCGCTCTGTTATTGGTCCAGAAAACTCGCACCACTCTTTCAACCAATCAGATTCAAAACTAAAACCAATCACGACTGGGTCGCCCGCGTTTTCCCGCGTTTCAGGATGTTTGGTTGTTTTTTACTTGGACTTGTCGTATGGCTCTGTAAGGTAGAAGCTGTTGTTAAGACAATCGTGATAGAGTACTGAACCATTCAAACAAGTTTTGCCTTGGGCGATATATCGCTTCAACTCAGCGATATATATTATCGTTACGTATCTTGTTTCCTTATGCAGATCTCCAGGAAAGTTTCAATTTTCTTTCGCTTATTTTGCGAGAGAGTGCTGATTTCTTATGTTATCCTTTTAGACGGAAATTAACGCACGGCTAGCCAGAATTGATCACCTCGCGCATGCCCGATGTTAAACTGCTGTGTGCTGTGTTCCTCACATGTGACTTACCCTTCTCTCAGACTTCTTTCTCATTTCACGATTGAGCGGGATACCGAACCTTATCCAAATGAATGCAAGGCAAAGGTTGATTAGAACTGACCCTGGATATGTGAGGTAAAATAATTCCTTCTGGTACTTTCCCTGAGTGAAAAAAAAAAAAGTAATTAAAAATAAATAAATAAATAAATAGAATAAAAGAACAACAAAAACATATGAATAAATAACTAAATGAAGGCTAGCCATTATTCATCACCTGGGGGAAGGGGTGGGGGTAGGAGTATTTTGGTTCTTCTACGATAAATTGACCTAATTACCCCCATAAGACTCTGTAATATCCCTACGACCCCCCTTCCCATCCCACCACACCCCTCCCCCCCCCATACACACACACAAAGCAATGAGCATGACTCATAATTCTCTTCATTTTTATGTGTTCCTACTTGAAGCAAAGAATTTCCGACTTGAGGACTATCAAAACAATTATGATTAATACCCGAGAAAAACACGACCTCCTTGACAAACTATATTTTAATAGTCTTCAATTAGTTTTTAAATTTGCTTCCCTTTCATCTGCTTTTGTGTTATTCTAATGGAAGTCGATATTGTTATGTCGTGGGAAGACAATTCCGCCTTCCAATATTATCGCAAATAAGTGAACGAACCGTCATTACTTTTTTTAAACAAATCGCCAACGCAAGTCGTTCCTTCAGCGGGGTAGATCACTTTTAATGACAATATTGATTACCTTATCATGTTCACCCACACTTATTTGTATTCATCTATTGAAATTAACTTCAAAACAAAGACTTTTCAGATAAATAGGACCCGTCTTTAACACTTCGGTCAAACAAAACAGTGACTATAACGAAGTTCAGTGTTGCTGTTGAAACAAACCATCCTAAGTATAACCTTTGCATAGCTCACTCGTGGATTGACCAGTATCAAGGGAGATAATGACTGTCAACACAACCGTGAGACATTTCTTCGAAAACAGCTCACAGTCAACCAGCCATGCAGCCTCGAGTCATTCCGACTAAGCTTGTGAAATAACAGCCGATTCCGCTCTAGAGGTTACAGCTAAAGCTCTGGCCTATATTTTCATTTTCCTGGTTTCCTTTTTCGGAAATATCTTTCTTCTTGTGGTCATTTACAAGAAAAAGCAGCTGCGAAGATCCATCAACTACCTCGTTTTCAACATGGCTGTATCCGACCTCTTCAACACTTTGACCATCATGACTGTGAAGATCGTTGAGATCGTTTCAGGATCGAGTTCCTGGAAAGTTGATCGTCCGTGGCTGCTGGGAAACATTCTATGCAAACTTGCCTACTTTCTGCCAGATGTTTCCGTCGTGGTTTCCATCGGAAGCCTTCTTTTGATCTCAATAGACAGGCTCATCGCTGTCGTCTTTTTGTACGATTGATCAGCATTCTAAGCACGTGGTTTGTCGCCATCGCCATGCATGCACTTTATTTCTACAGTTTCAAACTGATCCCCCACGCAAATGAAACGTATTGTGAGTTGAATTGGGGACCGGCATTCGACCACATGAAAACACACAGAGGATTTGTTACGGCAAATTTCATCACTTTCATCCCCATTCCCATTTGTGTCCTGGCCAGTGTGTATAGCATTATTGTATGGACAATAAGAAAAAAGAACAAAAAAAACTGAAGAGAAACTGTCTTGTCGCCAAAACCATCGAGATCGACAGCTGAGAAACATTGTCAGATTGGCAGTGGCCATTATGATTTCCTTCGTTTCCTGCATGACTCCCCTGCTTATCTATTTAATTCTTAAAATTTTTTTTTGTGGAATTGGGAATCGCCACCCATGCATTTCAGACAGTTATCCCATTCATTTGTTTATTTCTTATGCATTCGTGGAGTGCGGTAAATCCCTGCATTTGTTTTATCTTTGGCAAGAACTACCGCAACGGCCTTAAGCAATGTTTTTATTGTAATTACCTCAATCGCAGAATATCAGGTTTGCAAGAAATACCGAATGCAAACGACCACGAGCTCCTACGGAGACAGCTCCCTTCAGACCCATTCAAGTAGCGTACACTTTGTCTCAGACAGCCAAAAAGCTTGAGCACTATATATAAATATATATGTATAATTATTTATGGGTGTGCGTGTGTGTGTGTATGTATGTATTTAAATCCCTATACTCAGAAAATAGACAGGATGATCATTGAATATGCATGTAGGGAACACTGTGGAGTGTTCAATTAAGATCTAAGTGCCACACACTTAACTACATGAACCATTTGTTCATATTGCGATATATCTGTTTTCTCCGTCGGATGGTTTCCTAATGCAAGATCATGATATTTAATCGATCCTGTAGATCTTATATTAAAGGACAGTAATACAATTTAGTCACTTATCCTACTTGTATTTGTGGGCAGTTTGGTATGGATGATCTAAGAATCATTTGCATGTTTAAAAAAATACATTATATTATTATATTATATGTGGCGAATATAAGTGCAAAACGTCTCCTAGTGAATAAAGTAATTAAAACCTTTGTTCAAGCGGCATATGGTATAACTGAACCTTTTGGCTTCTTTTTAACTGACCTCCCATCGCGTTTTCATAATCACATTTAAGTTAATTTGACTTATTCCATAACGTTCTCGGAAGAAAATGTTTTTCATTGTAGGGTTTCATTTTCTTCCTCCCCATCTTATCTGCAGCTGATATTTTGATTCCGTCTGACAGTTTGTACGACACTCTATACCATATTCGTCGCCCTTAATTTCTTTCACGTCCCAACTTGTCTCGCATGTGTCAGTTGATTTCGCGCAGGTCCATATCACGCCTCCACAACTATTATTGCACAGATGATAATACTCTTCAAAGGAAGAAGGAAGCGTAAATATCAGATGACTTTTGCCAAACGCGTGTTCATGTTTTTCAATGTTTTTTACATTTCTCGGCTACTAATTATTGATCAGGTTTCTTACACAAGACATGCACAGCACCTGAGTCTACAAATGCAAATAGAGTCTCGATGTCTGTTTTTTTTCTCTCTCTTTCTTTCTTTTTTTTACTCTTCCCTTTTTCACTATTTATTCAAAGGCTTCTTCCTTCCCTGTTTCTTTAATGAGACTCCATATTTCTCTTTTTCGTCATGTACAATTTTTTACTCTAGTCGAGAGCATGTTACGTAACTATCCCCACAGACGCCTCGTCCCTATGATAATGAGCGTTTGTAACAGGACAAAATAAGAATTCGGATTCTTTGAGCTGATTCTTGTTTGGATAGGTTAGTAAATTAACCATCATGCTATTCCATTTTTTATATCTCGATCCTGTCATTCCGTTTAGAACATTTAAGAGCTAATGTCAGCATACATCAGACAAACAGCTGAAAAATTTGCTTTCATTCCTACTTTCATATTGTGTAGCCTAATATGTTCTTATAATTGTGGTGTAGTTTTTTTGTAAAATTTAATTTAGTTTTCGAGAAATTATTTTTTCGTTCGACCGCTCAAATATGCAAATTTTCACCGTGAATATTACCCGAGTTGTGTGACCTCATGTAACGAATATACTTGACCTACGGTATTTCTGTCAACACAATCCTTTGTTTTATCATCTAAACTTAATTCCCTGATATTATTGAAGCTGGAAAAGAAATATTTATTTTTTGGTGAATATCTTTGTCCGACATACATTTCCTATGTCGAAAGGTAGCATCAAAACAAAGACAGTCTTAATAATGACCGATGTGACAGAATCTACTGAGCTTCAAGCCTTTAAAAGACAAAAGGATAGTTATAAAGTTACTGTAAAAATTTCTTTGTGTATTTGTGTTGTTCTATCTTGAGACGAACTCAAAGTCCGGCAAAATTTACCTGATAGCGGCTATAAAATATACATAGTGTGCCTACTTATTGCCACCGTTAACTAGCATAAATCACTACAGTTTGCAAAAAATCTAACATAGCACTTTTACCTCGTTTATTTATGATTTTATTAGCTGTTTCGATGATCACTTTAATTATTGCCAACCACACTTTAGCCAGATTTGAGTTCCAGTTTACATACCTTCTGTATCTTATTATATCAGTTGTATGACAAGCGTTACACAGAAATTCAAAGATGAATCAACCTCCGAAATACCAAGAGATGGGTTTTTTTTCCTATTTGCATGCCATCTAGAAAAACTTTTCAGGAATTACTGCATTCAGAAAACTAAAATGTCCAGATCCATCCATGATTTCTTCGCCGGCTGAAGTCAAGGAATGGTTACAATAGTCAATTTGATTGACAAGCTACATACTAATTTAGCAAACTGATCTGTTTTATAAGCGTCTCATCTCACATGCTAACGTGGAGATTTATTGTTCAGTTAAATCGTTCGCTGGTGGAACTTGTGGGTTTAGTTATCGAGAAGACCGAAGTTGTATATCTCCAGTCGTTCTCTTACGTGGTTGTTAAAAAGACATTTCAAGTCACTTGCCGAGCTGCAAGTTTTCAGATACAGAAAATGAAGTTGACCTTATTTTGTCGCGTGCCGGCATCTTCGAGTCGCTAAAAGATATCGATGATTTTACAAATTGCCCCACTCATTGATCAAATCTCGGTGTTGGGTGGAGTCGTGATTCCAATAGTAGATGTAGGGTGCCAAACGAAGTGTCCGGCCATGGTAAAGGTAGGTCGATTCCGAAATCCGATAGGGGAATTGGTAAGCGTGTATCACTGATAGTG